TTCCTTCCTTCCGTCCGTACGTCCGTCTAGCGAGTCCGGTTGCCTGTATCTGAGAGACGGCGACCCCTGCAGCCAAGAGTGCCCGCAAACCTTCTCTCTCCTTGTCTCTCCATCGTTCGGCCACCGCATCCTCGTCCCCGGGCTGGCCCCGGAGAATAAGACCCTCGAACCAATGGCTGGTCTAGTCTGCCTCCAGAATGCGGGACTTGCTCCAGTATGATTGGCCAGCGCGGCTGTGGGATCAGCCAATAGGGAAACTGAAATCGGCCGGGCTGCCCCTGCTCGCCGGACCCGGGGATAGACAACGAGACGACACCGCCTACATGCAAGCGGACAAGTGGCGGGAGTGGCGCGTATCTCGCTCAGCCCTGTACCTTGCCCACTCCGTCCCAAGTCTGGATGTCAGTTAAGCCAGGCGACCGGCCAAATCCACCAGCCCTGGAGACACGAGTTCCAGCTCCAGTTCCAGTCCCATTTGCATTTCCAATTCGAGTTCCCCTTGCATTTCTAGTTCGAGTCCGCGTCGCCCGAGACCCAACTCAGTTTGCCAATCCACCTTGAAGCCCGTCATTGACATACTCGGCAACAAGGCCTCCGGTGCCACGGAGATTCGCCGGGCCGCTGTCCCAAGGCCTCCATGTGGGGCGTTGATGTGTGAGTGTGCATGTGTGTGTGCGTCTGGCGTCTCCGAATGACCTTGTCGCCAGTCCACGCCCAGGGCAAGATGTCCACGGTCAGGAAGGCCTCTCCGCCTCAGTCTCAGCCTAGACTTGGACCTCGCGGATACTCTTCGTCGTCAGGCCACCACCCAGTTGCTCAGCCTGTGCCGGTCAACCTTTTCCCGCCGGGGTTTGGCCTTGCGGCCAAACGCCACGATTCGAGCCCCTTAAACGTCGCCTCGACGTCCGGCGAGACCGGCGACCCGGTCGGCCCCAGTTACCAGGACCCTCCGCGACAGGCCGTCGTCAACGCCACCTTGACGCCCGCTGTCACGCTGGCTACCAGCTCACCCGCTGCCGCCTGCTCCTCCTCCTCTTCCTCCTCCTCCTCCTCCTCATCCTCCTCGTCGTCGTTCTACGCAAGCTACGCACATCCCGACCGGGAGTTGACGCTTCCGCCAGCCTCGGCGCCCGTATACGATTTCGCGATGGCCGCCGCTGCCGCCGCTGCCGTCATGGCAACCTCTTCGGGCGGCCGGGCGGTGCGCGAAGAGCCCGAACTCGGTCCTGAGTTTGAGTCCGGGCTGGCCGAAGTTGGCACGAGAGCATGCCAACACGGCTACCTCATGAACACGGCAATGGGATTTCTCGCCTATCCGACCACACCACCGTCGACGCCGACCCTAGCTCCATCAGCGACGGCGCTGGCAATGGCGGGTAGCCACAACGTCTACCGGTATCCAGGCCAGGCCGGTGCTCCAGTCGCCTTCGCCTGCTCTCGGCTCACAAACCTCGGACAGACGAACCAATCGCCAGGCGGCCTCGGTACGAGTCGAGGCAAGGCGAGATGTCGACCCGGTCAGGGACAAACGAAGCGTTCCGTCACAGGTCGATTTCGCAGACGTCTGAACAATGCTGTGAAAGAGACGACTTCGGTTGCCGGGCGAGTCGGCTCTGAAGACGTCGACCAACGGGAAGAAGACGCCGGCTATTCGGTCGTCATGACAACCAAGCGTTACAATGATGGGTGTGGTGAGGAGGGCCATGATGAAGAGTACGAGGAGGACGAAGTGAGTGGTGATAGCGTTTACGATGAAGAGGAGGAAGAAGAAGAGGTGGAGGAGGTGGGGGAGGAGGGGGAGGAAGAAGAGGAGGAAGAGGAGGAAGAGGAGGAGGAAGAGGAAGAGGAGGAGGATGAAGAGGTCGACTACAACATGGAGCCGGACGTCAAGGTTGAAGAAAACGACCTCTTTGTGAAGAAAACCCTGATCGCCGGCCAGACTCAGACCATCGGCAGAAAAGATGATGAGACGGCTGCTGCTGTTGCTGTTGCAGGTGGTGGTGGTGGAGTAGGCAAGAGAGAAGATGGCGAAGGGCCTGGTCGCCTGGGCGCCCGTGAAGAAGAGACAGGCTGGCTGGCCGACGGCTACAATCACGGCACTGATCAAGGCTCACCAGTCTCCGAGGCGACGACCGGTCGATTGGCTGCCTCTCGAGACCACCAGAAAGTGCTACTAGCCCCTGCCTCGGCCGCCCCCTCGTCGACCCTCCTT